CACCCTGCCTCAGGTTGATGTACAGATTGAATATATACCACTCAGAACCTGACAGTGCTCAGAGCAGAGGTAAACTATCAAAAAGGTGAACATCATCAGTCAAAAACCATTCTAAACCTTATGGGAAGGGGTGACAGAATAATCAGACATCCATTTAGTAACAAACATGTATATACTAATATTCCTACACAGTTTTCTAAGAAAAAGACAGATTTCATTTATCAAACATATTTATTTGAACAAATGACTAGAGAAAACCGAGTCACATTTTCTACTATTCAAGGAGCAGAAACAACAGGGGGATTCAAAGCATCTCTTTGATACTCAGAAGGAAATAACCAGTAATAGGTAATTTTCTTTTGTTTGTTTTATTCTTCTTCCCTAACACATATCTTATTGCCATTTATTGTTTTTACAATGAAATAAATTGAGCTTTTAGTCAAAGCAGAACTTGATAGATGAAAGTGAGTAGCTTTGAGAATTAAGCCAGATAAAACTTTATGACATTAGCATGGCCTTAAAAACATTACAGAAAGTGAACTTAGTCGTATACAAAAAGATAATCACTGACAAAAAGCATGTAAACTAGTTAAACTGATAAACTCAGGTTGGAGAACAACAGTCCTCAGAAACTAAAATAGGTAGGTAACAAGAACTTCCTAATGAATGGATAGAGTTTCAGTTAAACAAGAGAATAAGCTCTAGAGAGTTGTTGCACAATATTGTTCTTGTTGGTAATAATAATGTGCAGGATACTTAAAATGTGTTAAAAGGGTACTTTTTAAATTTTAATTTTTTATTGGGAAAATACCATACAGAGGAGTTATAATTACATGGGCAAGATAACGAGTACATTTCTTATCAAGCATTGTTGCCTCCTCTTTGTTTCTCCTTCCCATCCCTTCCCATACTCCCTCCACTTCCCTCCACCTATTCCTCCCCCCCCCCACCAAAGTTGTAAAGTTCGTTTTTCCACATAACGACTTGAACTTCTCATTGTTGCAATGGGTTAAAAGGGTACTTTTTAAAATAAAGATTGTGTGGAAATGTTTAATGCATCAGTTACAGGATTCAAACAGAAGGTATGATACATTTTATGGACAAAATTAAGGATTTTGTTATAAAAATTACTGAATAAAATAATATTTACAGATCAAGACATTTAAAGGGTCAATAAATACATGGAATGAGGTCATGAGGGAAAGGCAAATTAACATCCCCAGATTCCAGTTACAAACGTACACATACTATATGATTTCTTTGGTATGAACTTCTAAAACAAAGTAAACAAATGTATGGACGTAGCTGGGCACTGCTGTTCATGCCTGTAATCCTAGCTACTTGGGAAGCCGAGATCTCAAGATCATGGTTTGAAGCCAGCCTGGGCAGGAAAATCCATGAGACTCTTATCACCAATTAATCACCAAAAAATTGGAAGTGAAACTGTGGCTCCAAGTAGTAGAGCACTACCCTTGAGCAAAACAGCTCAGTGCCCATGCCCTAAATGTAAGCCCACAACTGACCAAAAAGTAAAAAAGTAAAATAAAAGTGATGTAAACCAGAAGCTGATGCCCAGGGATAAGATATTAGCTGCCAATGATGATGGTTTTATTAACTTATTATAACTTTTAAAAAGGAACATAAGATAAAACCTAAAGAGGTTTCCATTGACCAAAAAAAAGATGGGACAATTTGCCCATTAAAAGAGTGACACTTGCAATAGACTGAAACTCATATATATGCTAAGAGTTTGTGTCTTTAAAAAAAAGCCATTTGCCTTTTAAGGTGAGTGATTTATTATTTTGAAAGTGGACAACAAGAGAGGTTAAACAAACCTCTCCTATCTAAGCTGTGTTTTCAGGGTCTCATCTTAGACTTTCTGAGCTTCAGAGCATGTCAGCACTGTATTTGCAGTGTGTCAAGTCCTAGCCTGCCTTTCAAATCCATGAATACGCCACAGGCATCTTTATGGCCTCTATCCCAGGTGACTGTCCTACTCCCAATCCCTACACGCTTCCTCCCCACTTCAGCCTCCTCCCTTACGCCGTTATTACGCCTTTCCCTGGTGTATAAACTTGGTGCCTTTTTTGGACGCTGCCTCTGATGGCCCCACAGCTCTGTGTCTCCCCATGAGCACTTGTTGGCTGCTCCTTCCACAAAGTCCAAATTCCTTTCCTTTGGATCTATGAAGGAGTAGAGGCAGATGGCAGCCAAGGCCCAAACTTGGGAGCCCCATGGGTCCTCTGCAGGCTCCCTCCTGGCTTCTGGCTACATGATGAACACATCTAGAGGTATAGAGATGTGACATGACAAGGGGCCTGGTCCTGTCCCAGGCTGAGCATTAGAAAGGTCCCACCTCTGACTCCCCTCAGCTCAGCTCCACCCCTCCACAGACCTGTGCCTCTGTGTCTGCATCGGTCTCTCTTCACTCCTGGCCAAATACATGAGTATTTCATGCTGCCTTCAACTGGAGAAGGTTCTTTAAACATTCATGTTTAGTTGTGTAATTACAGGGCTTTCCTTGTTAGATATGGCTGTTAAAAAATGAATGAGAACAAAGGAAATACTGGTCCACAAACTATGCACTGGCTTTTTAAAACTCATGAATATTCTTTTCCTTTTCCATTGTGAAGCGCTTCTCTTAAAAATACAATTAAAGGGAATTATGTGTAGTCACCTGTATCCAATTAGTTTTACTGGTTGGGGCTTGGGTTTAATGAGATTTATTCTCAGTTTTAAACTCCCCTAGGAGGCAGTTAGTTCCACTCATGTCCCCGTTAGAGACTCTACCTTCACCCCCGCCACCACGTCCCAAGGCACCGGAGGGTGAATCATTGATACAACCAGAAAATCAAGGAAAAGTACATCGTTCCATTGAACTTTATCAAAAATTTTGACAAAAATTGTGAAATGGATCAATGTTTTATAAAGGTTTTTACATGATTAATTATAAATGTGTTTGAAAACATTAAAAGTCCTCCCCCCGCCTGTTTTTTTTAGTGCTGGTCTTGAATCTTGAACTTACAGCCTGGGAAGTATCCCTGAGATTTACTGCACAAGGCTAGTGCTATACAACTTGAGCCGAAGCTCTATTTCTGGCTTTTTGGTGGTTAATTGGAGATAAGTGTCTCTTGAACTTTTCTGTCCCAGGCTGGTTTTGAACCACGATCCTCAGATCTCAGCCTCTTGAATAGCTAGGCTTATGGATATGATCTACTGGCACCTGGCTAAAAAGGCTTATTTTGAAAATAACAATCATAGTAGGAAAATCCTAAAGACATTCACTCCCTAACATCTGCTAATCTTCCTTGTTTCACATGTGAATAAAAGTATTCCATGCTATCTTTCTTATTAGTGCCTAGTCCAACCTTACAATTGTAATTAATGATAATATAAAACAGATGCTGATGGCTTGTGCCTGTAATCTAAGCTAAGTGGGACAGTGAGGATGGGAGGATTACCGTTTCAGACCAGCTTTCAGCCAAACCTGTAAGACTCTATCTCAGTAGAAGAAGCTGGGCATGATGGTTCCTGCCTGCCATCCCACATACAGTGGGAACTGAAAAATAAGACTGTGATCCACGTGTAGCCCTTGGCAATATGTGATACCCTATGTCAATAATAACCAGTGCAACAAAAGGGCTAAATGGCTGGTTCAGTGGTAGACCACCTGCCTACCAGCACAATGCTCTGAGTTCAAGTTCTAATATTGCCAAGGTATTTTAGGTGGATCAATTTAGGAAGCAGTGGGTTAAAATAACATTTCATGATTTGAAGATGCTTATATAAAATATGCACATATTTCACTTATAAGAAATAATGCTCATCACTAGACTCTGCCAGCAAGCAGGCTAGAGACCTGGAATGTGTAGTGTGCCTAACTCACAACATGGCCTCCTACATGCTCAAGGCATTTTTTTACAACATATACTTGGATATTTTTTCACATTGTCCGAGTCATGTCTTAGAGAATATTGTCAGGTGAACTTGCAAAATTACAAAATAAAAGAGCAAAACATAGGTTGTGAATTTAAATAGTCTCCTAGGCTGTCACTATTACAGCACTTTTGATATCACACTCAGTCCCCAGGCATTAGCACATCTGATCTCCAGGGAAACATGCTCTGCTCCTAGGAAGCAAGTCATTGCTTTCAAAGAGCAGCTCGGGTATTAAAAACCTCAAGTTAAACCTTTTGAGGCCACAAAGAAAATGCACGATTTCAAAATACTTACACCTACCGGTAAGGTACATCATAATGTTTTGACTTTGATTTCTATAGCAAGTAGATGATTTCTTAAAACATAAAATATTTCCATATATTTAATAACCCATGTGACAAGATGGAAGGATGTTTTATAATTAGTCTACTTACAGTGCCCTATAAATGTTGGTGCTTTCAAAGGGATCAGACTACAAATATGATCAAACTGAATAAGATTTAAAATCTGCTTTCCTCAAACCCATTCTCTATCTGTAAATAGTCTCTCATGAGAGGATTCACATAGCCAGGCCATAAATAGAGAGAATCATTAAGAGATAAACTATCTCTAAAGTAATTAAGTTAGGGTAAATTACACAGAGCTTTACTCAACACTAATATAAAATCCCACATCTTCAACAGAACATATATTTCTTTTATACGAGACCAGATTTTACTCATTTAAAGTGTCTGAATAACAACTCAAATTACCATTTGAAGTTTTATTGCATCCAATGCTCAAAGTCCTTGCAAATATCAATATTTGATAATGCTACTTAATGAAGCTTCGAAGTAGGAGAATAAGGGTTTTCAGAGTAAGAATAGATGTAACTAATTCTACTAAGAGATTCCAATTAAAGGAAGAATTAATACAACATGGTTCAACATTTATTCCCTCTCACTTTTTTTTGTTTAAGAGTTGAAAAGAAAATTTACAGTATTCATTTAGTAAGAAGACAATAAGACAAAAGAAGTGCTTTGATTAATGGTGCCATGGCTTGTGGCTAAATGAAAACGTACCTCTCTCTCTCGCCTTCAGTGAGATCAAACAATCGGTTGGCACCTCCATCAGCACAGGCTCTTAGAAGAGCTTTGAAGAGAAAGAACACAATCATGTCAATAAAGAAGTCCAGAAGAGTGTTTTGCAAATGATAAATACAAGAAGGCAGTCTCTCAGAAATGAGAACAGTCAAGTCCACCTTACTGGGTTATGACATACACGGATAGTGATATTCTTGCTCACGAGCTGATTCTATAGAACAGGAGACAAGGAAATCAGTAATTACACTACGCTTATTCCCTTTGGGCACTGGTTCAGTTCCTCTGCATCAGCTCAGGAAAACATGGTGCAGAAATAAGCATGTCTATATATTTCCTGGAAAGTGCATTTCCTCCTTCATAACAGGAAGTAGGCCTTAGGCACATGAGGAGGAGGATTCCGTTGTTTAAATTGTGATTCATGATTTTTTACATCATTTGTGATAATGATTTAAACTGTGATTTGTGTACAAGTGGAAAATCATTTAGACATGTTATCCATGTGAAAATGTGTGAAGATGGTTCAGAAAGATCTGAATTGAGGAAATGCCGAGAAAGCAACACCTGCTGCCTTTCCACCTCAGGTTTATATCTCTCGAGGGATTGATTTTGCCCTGGGATTTGACACTTCTAATCACGCATTCAGGAAGTATCCTCAGTCCATGCAATGCTATCTTTGTTCTTGGTGCCGCTTCTGTCACAGAAATGAAAATGCTCTTCTTTATAGAAATGTTCGTAGCATTAGCTCTGACCTCACACTATGAAGTGTAAAATAAACAAATCATACAACTACATGACAGAGTTAAACATTTTCTACATCACAAAAAGGACTAGAAGATCCAGTGATTAAAGTCCATTTTAAGAACGGACTGGTACATTCAGGAATTGACTCTTTGAAACAAAGATTAATGATATAAGTAATTAAAATGGGGAAGAAGAAAGCAAAGGGGGTACTTTTCCTTGTGTATTTGTGTCTTCCTTGGATATCAGATGAATCTGTTATCCAAAAAAGCAGCCAATAACGTATGACTTGTTTCAGGAAATATAAAGTTACAGGTAGCATGTAATTGTTGCCAAAACAAAAATCTGCAACTTCCAGAGAAGGAATTTTCTCCAAATGTCACCAACTCACCAAGGTGGCAAAATTTAGGAAAGCATTTGAAGAAGAAAGACAACTTTTTTCCAGAGCTAGCCACCTCCTGAAACTTACACTGATTTTCCCCCCACAGAACATTTAGGGAAACTTTCTTGTTTGGCTGCAAAGGTATTTAACTTTAAATAATGGGTTAATTAACTAATTTTAACATCATCAGCATATTAATATATTGGCTCCTGATTTCCACTGGTTCACTGATAGTTCCAGAGGGCTGCTGAGAGTCTAACCATTCTGTATCTAATCTGTCTAATCTGTTTAACATCATTGGTTTCTGAACTTCGATGTGTTTCCTAAATGTGCAGAACTTTGTCTTTCTTCAATTTTAGATAATTCTTAGCTATTTTAGCTCAATTGTTTCCTAACTTAAGGTCTCTCTACCCATCACTCTTCAGCAATCAGACAATGAGACAATCTCATTCTGTCCTTCAAATTTCTCATTATTTCATTTCTATTATCTCCTATTTCTTTCTTTTTTTCTTTGCTCCTTTCGCTCATTCTTTCTTCAATGCTACCTACCTTTCAATGTATAAAGTCTCTCTTCAATTACATCTAGTCATCTGACAGTCTTACTGATTTTTTGTAAAAAATAAAAGTGTAATTTGTTTCTTTTTTCAGTCTCAGGGACTGCAGCAGATACTTGCAGCTAATATATTCAGTCTGTCTTTCATTTAAAAAAATTCCCTAATGCTTTCAGAGCAGACTCTTTCTCTTCCTGGGAGGTGTTATGTGGATTTCCACCTCTCACAGACCAAAGCCTTACTACTGACAAGGAAAAGTAACTGCCCCAGGTAGTAGTGAATTCAAAAGAAACAACCTACTCTTTTATGCTACTTCATTTTATGGAACTATAAAAGCATGACATATTTGGCAAATTTAAGAATGTTTATAGTGCAGTTAGCAGTGTTATGCTCAAGAAGTGTTATATTCATATAAAATTTAGTTCCAAATTTTGAAGTTTTAAAGGCAGGAAAATTTTTTAAAGGATATTTAAGGGATAATGTAGATAGAAACAAAAGCCTGATTAAATAATTATACTGAATATTATACATTGTGTTTATCAAATACCAAAATAAGGAACAATAAACATTAGTCTTCTTTTGCTGAAGTAAAACTAAAATCAAAACTCCCGTATTTTCAGTAAAGACAAGCTTAATTTTCATAAAAAATAAAAGACAAAAAAGTAAGAAATTGACGTTGCCAATGATTGACTTTGCCAATCATCACTGGAAGAAGTAGTACCCAAGTTCAGAATTCCATAAACATAGAGAATACACATTTCCTATGTATCAAAACTAAAAAAATAGAAAGTCATCAAATGTATAAAATTAGCATAAAACAACAATCAAATTGAAAAGACTAATTAATAGAGACAGATGGTAAACTCTCAGTAAATCCTCAGAGCATGGAAACAATTCTCTATAGACAAACTTAACAAAAATATGGGATACTCTCTTATAAAAATTGATTCACTGAAGTAATATAAAAACACAAGAAATAGTAGATTTTAGTGGCTAACCACTAATAAATAGAATTTGTCAATATTTTTCATTTTATTGCTTAGCAAAGATCAGTGGGATTTACATTTAAATGTATAAACTACTAGGCTGTAACTCAGGGGCAGAAGGCTTGCCTAGCATAAATATGTAACGGAAGTGATCTCTAGGCAGATGACATAAATATATGTATATATTTATATATGTAGATATATATA